GGGAAGGGACTGCTGATTATGCCACCTAATTAATCAAGAGGGGTATCTTTCTAATCAAGTAAAAGGTGTGTAACATATCCATTTCATCAATTAATCAATGAGAAGCAGAATTCTAACCATGCTTACTCAGACACAAGCTCCGGTTGGGATTCCTAAACTTTGGGGATAAGTGGGATATAAATAAATAAGCACTGATTCACAGGGTAGCCCTACTATTAATATGGGGGAGGGGTCTACATCAGTGGGCGCATCTGGAAGTTTGGGAGGGTCTTGCAGGGCAGAGGTGGGAGCTGAGCTGTGAAAAATAAAGCCCCCCTTCTGACCCCCCCCCAAAAAAGATGGCACTGTGGAGCATTTTTTTGTTTGCAGCACCCCAGTGTGAAACTATAATTATTACCCTACAGAGCAAAAAGTTAAAAGGAAAAGCAACAAGTCTGATGGGCGGCAAAAGCTGCCCCCATGGGAGTACTGGTGTCTGCAGAAGGCTCTGTTTTGCATCCAGGCACTTTACCTTCTTGCTGAAATATGGCTAAAAGAGGCATCCACTTTAATGGAATGGCATGACATCCCATTTTTTTTAAGAGGAGAAATAATGCTCCCCCCTCCCTCCATAGACTTCACAACTGTGTATAGTCGCACCACTACAATTTCATATGGGCGTGTGTGTCCAACTCCGTCAAATTTATCGTCAGCTTGTCAGACATGCCAAGAAAGCAGAAGGCCTGTGGCCAATGCATATAATTAGCTGCACGTTCTGATATGGCACGTAACAGTTTCCAGCTTTTTTTAAACAAAGTCAATTTCCCCATTACAGCTATAATTTCATAAATTAAATTAATAAAGTGCAGCTTCAACCCCGGAGGGCCTTGAAAGAGGAGGGTGATGCTTGCACAACCGGGTGGCTCTTTTTGGTAAGGCATCGTAGCAAGTGTGCGGTTTGGAAGGCTGAAAACAAAACCTCGCCTAAAAGCATCGAGGCCTGAATCTCGCATAACGCAGATGGATTTATTTGAAATGTGACTTTCCACTTTGATTTGTGCCAGTGGCCCCAAGTTTGGTTACAAGCCAATGTTTCTCATATGGTGATCGGGATGAGATTCGTTTTGGTCTATGCACATCAAAAAGAGAGGAAGCAGCAGTGGAGGTACCAGTGGAAAAAAGGATTCTTGGCACCGCACGGAGGGAAAATGTTGACCAAAATGCTCAGGGGGCTGGACCTCCTCTCCAGCAAGGGAAAGCTGAGCAGTGTGTGCGGCTCAGAGGAGAAACACAGAGCCGCAAGCGCTGAAGCAGTGAGTGAGGAGGAAAGATGAGGCAACGCTGCTGTGGATGCTATCAAACCTTGGTACGTGCCCACAGTCAGGTGTGCTTAGAGGTAATGAGGGCTGCTCAGAGACAGTATCTCACTGCCTCTCTTCGGCCTTACATTTGTCACCCAGGTAATTTTTTAGGGTCATTCCAAGCCTATTACATGCTGGACATCCTAGACTCATCTGAAGCCCTCTATCATATATTTGCTCTGTGCTTCCCAGAGGGAAAAAAAAAAATCTTGAATTTGCTAGGACTCTGACTTTCATTTTAGCAGCTGAATGAGGTGGTCCTGTTTTATTGGATGACCTTCCGTTGCTACAGCTCAAGGGCATCATCACCATCACATCCGAGAAGCTGTTTGGACAGGAGCATTCAACCACTTCCATGCTGGATCCTTGTTCCTCCTGGATTAAAAAAGCCAGCAAGGAGGTAACCACCAGCTGGTCCTGGGAAGCGATCCTCTCTCCTTATGAAAGGGAACAGTCCCTTGCCCCCCAGAAGAGGCAGTGGTGAGAGCTCAACACATTCTCTCTGGAGCCGGATGATTTTAGTAACTTTAGGTCCATAGCAAATGGTCCTTTTCTGGGCATGGTTCTTAAGTGGATGGCAGTCGATCGGCTCCAGGTATCCCCGCAGGAGAATAATTACCTGGATCCATTTCAGTCAGGGTCCAGACTAAGTTCTGGCACAGAAATGGCTTTGGCTGTCCTGTGTGGAAACCTATGCTAAGAGAAAGACAAGGCATGTGACGCTGTTGATAGCTGTAGATCCCTCAGCGGCGTTTGAGGACATCAACCATGGTTTCCTTCTGGAGCAACTGCCTGATCTGGGAGTGTGGGGAATACTGCACTGTAATGGTTCTGCTCCTACTTAGATGCTCAGCTCCAGAAGGTGGTGCTTGGACAGTACTGCTCAGCCTCTGCAGGGCGGGTTCCTCAGGGGTCTGTTCGGCCTGCCTCCATATTATTTAACGTCTACATGAAACCACTGGGCAGGCTCCTCTGGAGTTCTGGAGCACTGTTGACATGAAACGCTATGGGGTTTTTCCCCTCATCTCCATCAGGGGCGGCTCTGAATGTGCTAAACTGGTGCCTGGCTGCAGCCACAGACTGGACAAGGACTAACAAACTGGAGCCTAAGTTGGACAAGACTGCGATGCTGTTAATAGCTGGTTCCTCTGACCAGACAGGGTTGCACTTCCCACGAAAAAGCAGGTTGGTTGCTTGGGGGTTCTCCTTGAAGCACTTTGTCCCTTGAGGCTTCTACTAGCTTTGGCTGGTGGCCCAGCTATGCCCTTACCTGGACAGAGAAAGGCTGGTTTCAGTAACCTACACGCTAGTAGTCTCTAAGATAGACTGCTGCAATGCACTCAGCATGGAGCTGCCCTTGAAGACTGCTCAGCAGCTGCAGCTTGCGCAACATGAAACAGCCAGACCGGCAACCCGGACTAGTAGCTCTGAACATATAAGAGCAGTTCTGCCCTACTTGCATTAGTAGCGTGCAGGGTTGGGGCGGGATCTGTTCCTCTAGCATTCATGGACTTCCTCTTGTGCTCAGCCTGGCCTCAGAAAGAAAGCTGAGCTGAGGGAATGCCCACGGATGCTTGCAGAAGGAAGGCTGGGCAGCCAGTAGCCTTCTTTCACGGCATGGAAAAGTGATGCTGCTTGGAGGGCAGTCACGTGGGGCTCCACCCTGGGGACACCACATCCACGTCATGGGATGTCGCTTGTGCAGCATGTGGGGCTTGAATCCTGCTGCATGTCCCATGGACACTGGGCGTACTCTCCGGGCTCGGACTCAGGACCACGGCAGGGTGGACTGGAGTCTGGGGAGCCAAGCCTAGGGACTGTGATGGAATCCAACCCCCAAACGGATCCCTCACATATCCCTAGCTGCTCATACGCCTGCAAGCTTGACTCGAGGTGCTAGTTTTAGCCTATACAGCCGTATGTGACTTGGGACAGAACACCTCTCTCAACCACAATCTACCTGATAAACTACTCAACATCCTGGGCCTTCCTTGGAGTGCCAACTCTGCATGAGGCTCAGAGGGCAGCAACCACAGGGAGAGCCTTCTTGGTGGTGGCCCCTATCTAGGCAATGACCTGCCCAATGAGGCCCATGTGGTGCCGTCCTACTTATCCTTCTGGACCACGTTAAGATGGCCCTTTATGCCAGGACAGTTACAAAGTTATTCAAGGGCTTGAGGGGAATACCCATCACAGGCATTTTATAGGTCTACTCTCCATCCTTTGTTATTTTGTTTTTAACTTGTCCTATTTTGGAAAAGGTTTGTGGTATTTTATTGTATTGTTTTATGAGCTGCTGCAATCCACCAAGAGAACTTTGGCTATTGGGTAGAATAGGAATTTAAGAAAATTAACTGTGGTAGTAGAAACAAGTTTGCTGTAAAAAGAATACTATATATTTAAAATAAAAGTAACAAAACATATATAGCCACCTACATGCTGGGCCGGCCATGCCAGGACTATATTCTATGTACAGTGGACTGGGAGCTTTTCAGCCACCCAAGCCTCATATCCCTTCACTTGGAAAACCGGTGGCTGTGACATGCCTGGTTAAAGAAACCTTGGTTAATTAATCATACGAGTCTTAGTTAATTAAATTTGCATTACTGGAAGAAAAACGGTGGCTCTAAAGCAGAAAAAAGCAACATACTTTGTTTCTGGATGGGACACAAGAGTTGCGGCAGGAATCATTCTGTAAGAGCCCTTCCCCTTTCTCTGTCACCCAGGAGGAAGGGCAGGAATACCTCTTCCATGCCAAAACTTGCCATCTGCAGATTTTACAACTTATAATATAAACGACAACAACAAAAATCAAACGACTTGTTTCCTGATTAATCCGAGGCAACATTTAAATGGATCAAAAGGGAATTTTGCAGCTCCAGTTCAAGGATGCGCCCACCTCCCAAAAAGAGCTACAATAAATGTGCTTAAAACATACCAAGCTTTTGCAGTTAGCTTTTTGCAATCTTGGCTTGAATTTAGCTGGTTCATACAAACGGCACCACTGGGTGGGTGTCTCCCAGCTGTGAGTGCAGCGATGCCCTTGGGCACTCCTTTGACATACCTCCTGCTATTAGTGTTAATTAGCGCATTTGTATAAACAACAGGATGAAAGACCATGCTTTCTTGCAGCCCCAATCACAGCCATCCGGTCATCCAGGAATCCCAGCTTCCGGTTGCTAGATGCCAATCCTACCCACCAGTCGCCCATTTGGAGAAACGCCCTGCTGCATTTCCTCACAAAACACAGCCCAGGGTCCGGATGACTCATTTTTATCTAGAAACAAGGAGTCTTCGTACGGTCACACTCACCTTGTCTTCTTGGGTCATACATTTATCATTATTTTAAAAACCATTGCTGTGGCGACTGCAGCTAAAATTACTTTTCCTCTCGAGGAACCTGGCTAGATGGAATGAAAGGTGGAATGGAGAGGACAGGCCGATACGAAGCTACCGCTCGCTGACAGCAGATGCTGCCGCAAATACATTTCCCTGCAAAGCCGGCCTTGTCAGGCTTTAGGCGAGAGCGCCGCGACCGTGGAGGCAAGATGTAACCTGGTCCGACACTGTCGGGGAGTGTGGGGTTGCGAGTGCTTCAGCGAGCTTTCAAACACAAAGACAAACGTGGGGGTGGGGAAAGAGGAAGGAAGACCACCGTACCTTTCACTACCTTATCCAGATAGTGAGCTTGGGAGATAAAAGACAGGACATGTAAAGAAGGATTGACCGAATAAAGTGCATCAGGCTTAGTACGAGATGGTGCAGGCGAAACAGAGGCGAAGGGAAGGAAGCCGAGGGCAGGGTGGGAGAGGAGGGTGAGAAGGAAGGGGCAGCGGCGATGGCCCAGCGAGCCTTTACTCAGGGCAGAGGGAAAGGCGGTGCAGCCAAAGCGGTTCCTCAGCCCCAGAATGAGAAAAGTCTACTTATCTCTCTCGGGTGCAGGGAGAAAAAGGAGGCATGGCTAAAGGGCAGGGCATTTACTAATTTCTTTAAAGCGTTTATAGACTGTCCCATTACTGGTGCCCCATTACTTGTTTACAGCAAGCACATTCTAGGGGCAACCATTCTAGGTCCTGGGGGGCTTTTCCTGCCTGTGGCAACCTCTCTCCAATCCACTGCAAAAGCTTTTCCACTTCCATTACTTGTCCACACGGTCCCATTCACGTCCGTGACAATTTATGGAATAATTGAAGGAGAAGGGAGATCCCTTCTCTCTCCAAGAAGGCTACAGACTAAGTGTGTGTTCGCAGGTGGTATGTGTGAGTTGTAGGTGAGCGGAAAGGTGTCCGGAGGCTGATGGTGTTCCCCAGGGCCAAGCAGGTTGGCATTCCAGACTTGTGTGGTGGAAAAGCAGCATGTACACTGAGAAGGAAACAAATGACAGCAGCCAGAAGACTAACTTATAATGGAGCAAAGGGTGTTCTGTAGGCCGTGTAGGGTCTCTTGTCTGGGTAGCCAGGGGTGTTTGCAAGAGCTTGTTCCTAAATTTGCATGATGGTAGCGATGCAGCGATGCTCATGCTTCAACCAACTCTTTTGGGACCGCGAATTAACCTCCCGAAAGGGAAAGGCCAAGTCCAATGAAGATATGAAGGGGCTCGGCAGAAGAAAAGGGACTTTGAGTGGCTGGCTTAAGGTGAGGGAGAGAGAGAGACTGGCAAAAATATAAAAGCGCAGGCAGCTTGGCTCACAGGGCTGTGTGTGAACAGCTCCTTCTCTTTATAGCAGTCAATAACTTCAGGAGGGGGGAGAAGGGCTTGGCGCTGGAGGGGTGGGGCTGATTTTCAGCAGAGCTCTCATTTGCGCTCTTGCTGCCAAGTGCGTTTCTCTTATTTATAACGTTGTTGGACGAGGACTGGGGAGCAATGCCTCTCCAGCTTGGGCACCATTCCCACGCTCCTCTCAGTCTGGCTTTCAGATGATTCCTTGTATTTTCCATGTCTCCCCCCACCTTCTTTCTCCTCCTGCATTGGCTTGGGAAGACCACCCAAATAGAAAGGTCACAACCTTCCAAAGAATTTTTGCTTTGTTTTTTCCCCCTTTGGAGTGTAGACTCCAGTATGTCTAACGGGTAAATGAAAGCACAAGATGCATATTTGTAAGCGAGGAGAAGAAATTGATTGCTAAGCTTTGGCTCCAGAGTGGGGCAACCTCAGCTCCTGGTAGTTCAGCGTATTCAATTGCACTCAATGCAGAGGGCCTGGGTGCAATTCCCAGGTTGTCTCTTCCGGGGAAAAAAATGGCTTGGGGGGCCGGGGGGGCTCAGGTGCCTTTCTCCCAGCTCCAGCTGGTGTCCCAGCCATGCCCCTCTCTGGACAGCGACAGGCTATGCTCTAGTAATCTCTAAACTGGATTGCCGCAGTGCATTCTACGTGGGGCTGCCCTTGAAGATAGTGCAGAAGCTGGTGCAGAATGCGGTAGCCAGATCAGTAACTGGGACCTGGAGGTCCAAACCTCTAAGACCAGTTCTGGTCCGCTTGCATTGGCTGCATGCCTGCTTCTGGGCCCAATTCAAGGTGCTGGTTTCAGCCTATAAAGCCTTGCATGGCTCAGGACCGCAATACCCGTTGGAGCACCGCTCCCAGCCGCGATCTGCCCCGATGCGATGCTCAACCCTTGGGGCCTTCTGTGTGCCCCGAGGGTGGCCACAAGGGGGAGGGCTTTCTTTGGGAGGCCGCTCATCTTTAGAATGATCTCTTCACTGCAGCCCGGCTGGCACCAAATCTGTCATCTTTTCAGTGCCAGGTTAAGACAGCCCTCTTCTGAGGCTTTTAAAGACTTACTCAGCCACCCAGGGGTTTGCTTGCCAGGTGTTCGCCAAGCACTATTTTGTTATTGTCCATTTTTATTATCTATTTTTACTGTTCTCACCTTTGTATTTTTCTGATTTTATGATATTTTTAGTGTATTTTTATTATCTTTTTATAGACTGTGTAAGCCACCCAGAGAGCTTCAGCTGTGGGTTGGTATAGAAATCATCTACCTGCCTTAGTTTTTGGAGAAGCTGCCATCTTTCTGCAACGTTAAGAGCCAAGCCACACAGTCACCAAACTCACATGGTGCAATTCTTGCTGCGTGGTTTGAATTTAGGCTGAAGGTGAAAGGGTTCATTAAAAAAATGAAATAAAAACCCTTGCATATAGAAAACCAGCACATCACCTGCTTCCTCACTTGCTGGCTTTCTTAGTGCAGGAGGTTTGCTTGCTTGTTTTGTTTTTCAAGCTTCCCAGTTTGGGTAGGATGCAGGGTGGGTGGACGGGTTAGAAATCAAATCAATCCAAACTAGAACAACCACAACAAGAGGGTTGGAATTCATCTATGTGATTCTCCTATTTGCAGGCCTTGAAGTAGTACAATCCAAGTAGAGCCCCATGCGTCTGTGTAGCTTGGAGCACTGGGAACAACAGGTGGGATGGAATATTAACGTAGAACCGTTTTAAGAATGGCTTGTGCAGCAGAAAGTCTCAGCAATGATTAATATGATCATTAGCTGCAGTTATACTGGCTCCCAAACATGGTTTAGCCGTTGCCGTCCCATTAGCATATGGCTCAGGACTGCAATATGTCTTTGGACATGATGATCAGCAAGCAAAGGCCTTCAAGTTTGACAGAGGCTTGGAAGGTGGCAATGGGAAGGCCTGCTTGGTGATGGCCCCCTTTATGGAAAGCTGTCCCCCACTGAAGTTCGCCTGGTACCATCACTGTCCTCTTTTCCGTGCCAGGTTGACTATCCTGGACTAACACACATTTCATGGTGCATGAAAAGGCATTCAGGTCGGCTGCTTCCAGCATGTTTGGTATTTTACAGTAACAAATCAGTTACTGATTTTTGTAACTGTGCAAATCATATTAAAAGTTGCACGAATTGTTTTTATTATCTTGTATTGTGGCCTTTATCTTTGTGAACTGCTCAGAAGGCTTTGGCTATGGGGTGATATAGAAATGAAACAAAAGAAGCAGATAGCAGTTTTTATGTCTGGATCTGCCGACACTTTTAAAGCCTGGAAGCTGAACTCCACCTTGTGAAAACACACCCCATTCTACTCTGCATGGCTAGCCAGCCCTGCATAGTGAAAAAAAGCAGCAGCGATTTGTGGTGTGTCTGAATGGGGACTGAGGTCTGGCTGGGCCTCTGGGCCACCACATGGCCCAGAAGCGGGCCTGCATTCCGGCATGCTTCCCGGGGGCCGGCTTGAGACCAGGGCTCACCAAGCGAATGCTGGCCGGAGGCGGAGAGCATGATTCAGAAGCTGGTGCTCAAAGCAGCCAACCCCCATTTCCTTCCTTGCTTCCCATAATGATCCAAAGAGCCCCGCTGGCCAAGACCGGTGGTCTGCCTTCTAGACAAGCATCTTGGGTTACCCGTTATCTAGACATATACCCCGTGTGAACCTGGAACATTTGGCTGTGGGGGCCAAGCGCCACTGGTCGTCCTGACTGCCGCAGAGCCATCCGAGGTCCTTTTAAATCAGCCTTCCCATCTGGGCACCCTCTGGATGCATCTGACACACCTGGAGAACTCCAGGTTGGGGACAGCTGCTTTGGCGCCGTCTTCAGGTGCAGCCAGTACCCTAGCTGGGGCACAGAACTGGGAAGGTTACTCTTGTGTTTAAGAGTCATTTCTGCCCAATCAGCTTCAACAGATTTGGGACCCTGAAAAGAGAGTGCGTGAGGATAACAAAACATGCGTGGACGTGACGGGCTGAGCATTTGCTTGCGCGCTCCTGCAGGTGACAACCAGGACCGGAGCAGTGGCGGGAGGCCCTGATGATCTCATATAATGGTGCTTCCTACCATGACTAGAGGAGAAGGCAGACGGAGGTGCTCACACACCTTCGCTGGCATAACATCTTCTTCCACCCAGGTACTAGCAGCTTCATCTTGGGAAAAATCAAGACAAACTCCCGTGAGTTTTCCCCAAGATGGTCTCAAGATGTACCTCCTGCATGGCCTGAAAGGATGGAACTGAAGAAGTGCCTCTTGGCGGTGAGACCTACATTAGGAGAAGCTGCCTTCCTTCGCTCATGCAAGCTGCTCCTAGCCATGGTACCTGGGCACCTGTCGATTACAGGGAGGGATTTAAGCTTCAGCTGCGGGGAGGTTCTCACATGTTTCGGGGCTAAAGCAGGCAGGGAGGTGAGATGCGCAAGACACATTGCCCACAACGATGCAGGTGTGCATGCAGGGGAATCACATCAGGATGAGGGAGATGAAGCCACACACGATGGCGTTCCCCACCAATGTCCTTTCATCTGTGCCAATACAGCAGACCCTGCTGGAAACGTGTAACCTTTTATCCATTCGGAAGAACTCCTGCACCCGTATGATGGCCCACACTGCTACCCTGCAGTACATTTATTTGCCTTGGGGTGGACATGAGTGTACGGACAAATATTCTGCAGGGCCAGTGGGTGGAGGGTCAATGCGGGATTCAAAGGAGGGTCTCTTGGCACTGTCGGTGTAAAGGTAAGGTGAAGGTCCCCCGCACATGCGTGCGTGTCTGACTCTGGGGCCGGTGCTCATCTCTGTTTGCAAGTCGAAGAGCCAGTATTGGTCCAAAGAGGCTTCCATGGTCACGTGGCCGGCATGACTAAACACCGAACGTTGTTACCTTTCCCACTGAAGTGGTACCTATTTATCTACTCACATTCGCATGCCTTCAAATTGCTAAGTAAGCGAGAGCTGGGA